TGTGCCTCAGTTTCCCTACACAAAAAATGGGGATTAGGCAGCCCTCTTAAAACAGTAACAAATAATGAACAGTAACAAAGCTTACCGAAAACAGGGCCTTTATAAAGCCAGGATGCAATTACTACTCAGCATTATCCTGGAACGTGAGATTAAGAGATGCCCACCCCAGCCCACTCTGCCCACAGGGAGAGAGGAGCGTGCCCTCCGAGGGGAGTTACCTTCACAAACTGCACATCACTGAGGATGTGGACCGAGTAGTCGGGCGTGTACAGGTTGTTGCTGCTGCTGCACAGCTGGGTGTTGCTCCCCCCAAAGTCGCTGCGCTCGCGGTTTGGAGACTCACAGCGATTCAACCCGCTGCAGCGAGAAGGGGACCGGTTTACTGCAGATGTTGAGGGAAAAGTGGAGGAAGAGGAGAGGAAGAAAAGACAGGAGGGGAGGAAGAAAAGACAGGAGGGGAGGAAGAAAAGGGGGATGGAAAGAGAGAGAGAGATTTTGTTGACTGAGGTCCTGCTGGACTGTCAGGCCCTGGAACATGGATGGTGGAAACGGCCCCTTGCCCTTCCCATTAGAGCCTTGGAAGGAGCCAGACTGGCTTCATTGACATTTACTCCTTAGGACTGAATATCTAAGACAGGAACACAGTGCACCACTCTTCTCGGGCAGCCCCCACTCCTCAAACCTCTGAAGGGTGCAGAGGTGGTCCACTGCCTTTCTTGGCTCTCTCTGGTCTTCAGATTAGGTGCAGGAGGACATGCAGTGAGATGAGGCCAGTGCTGTGAACATGGCTTGCTACTCCAGACCATGAGACACCCTACTATGAGTTACTTTCTAGAAACTCCCTTTATGAATCTTATTTTAGAAAGCCTGAGGCTTAGGTTTGCCCTCAGAACCATTAGTCATAGCACAGTCCTCATCATGGTGACACATTTTAGCCTGCCTCAACATTTGGGGGTCCCGGGGCATGCATACAAATGGAGCCTTACAAAACATATGGATAAATATTTAAGGCTATAAATCACATTAATAAACTGTTAAACAAGATATGTTTTAGTCTTTTCCTTGACAAATATAGTATCATAACCTGGGAAAGCCAGGTTTGACTTAGACTCTTTTGAGTTCTGTCCAGAAAACATGGTGGCACGGGGGAGAGCCGGCCCCCCAGCTCTACTGCTGGAGCTTTCAAGGCAGGGTATTCCAGAATCCTGGGTGTCTGAAATGTGGTCTAGAACGAAAGACACAGGTTCTGGTTGAGCTCATTCCCTTGACTCTATGGACTCCTGACCCATG